TTCCATAGTTGTTTCCCTTTCATCATGATGTTTCCGCTTGTGGTTGTAGTTTATGTTTAAAACAAATTAAGAGAAATACAAAAAGGGAAAGAAAGAGATCACGCCAGGGTTGTTATTCAATGGTAAACAATAGTGCGCCCTCTCCCGGGGCACCGGGAGTCAGCCATTGTTGGTCGATATTTACATGTGTTTGGTTCTTGCTGAATAAACGTTATAACTGTAGACTACCGTGTGTGTAATTTCATTTAAGTCGAATCTAGCCTACTGGCGCTGCACTTTTAAAAAGAAGGGTATTTCTTTTCAATAATGAAAAACCATCCGATGTTCACGAGAGATTGAAACTAGTGTTAAGCCCTGAACAGCATAGTTCACTAAGGCCGACGGAAAAGCTGTCTTGCTGTCGGAATTGTGACACGAAAATGAAGAAAATATGTAGGAATTTGGATAAGCTACGAGAGTTGTCGATGCTTACCTTTACGCGTTTTAAAAGACAAGTAAATGTCACTAAAAGAGGAGCAGCCTCATCCGTCCCAAAAGCAAAGCGAAATTTGTTGAGCGAGGTAGGCGAATCATTTATTAATATTGGGCACTTACCAGCTGCTGCTTGTTGTGGGACGGAGAAGTTAGGCCTAGATGATGATGTTACCGACGATTCTGATTCTGATTTAAAGGTATGTCAGTCTTGCAATTACATATTTAGAATTTTTTGTTAATATGAAAATAGTGAAACAGATAAAAAATGTAGATAATTTAGAATGAGGCCTGGTAGGCCTACCTACCTAGCCTACAATACTACCACTGCTGTAAAGTTTATTAAAGACTGGCTTAGGCTAGAGTCTAAGCCTGGCACGGATATAATTATTTATGTACATACATATTATACTAGCCTATTAATTATAATAATAGGCGCAAATGAACTTTATTATTACTCCACCCTAACCTTTACTAGCCTATGCCTAACTCGGGGCCTAACTCCAGTCTTAAATAAAAAAAGAAATATTTGGCCTATCATATATAGAAATTATTATGTCAATTAAATATTTATAATGAGGAAAATAAATGAGAAATGAAAATGAATTAAGGCCTAAGCAGTTATTCATTATTGAAATTATACTAAAGGCATTACAGTACCAGGCATGGTGGACTGATCCTTTTTAGTGTTTATTATTATACTACTGTATATATATGCATTTTATATGTTAATACAGGTACTCATATAAAACAGAAATAATTTTAAAAAGAGATAAATGAAATAAAACTCTGAAATTTCCACAAAAGAGAAAAAAGAAAGATACTGTCCAGTGAAATTACTTAGCAATTTTTCCAAAGAGGTGTAGATAGCCAACATATGCCTTGATTATTTATAATCAATTAAGCAAAATGAATGAGTTCTTTTGCAATTATAGCTTCTTCTGACTTATGGTATTATATGATTTATGGTATGGTATGATTTATATAAAAATTAAGGATATATTTTTTACTATTATTGCTATATTCTCGAAAAAAAACAGATCAAATCACTGTTTATAATTATTAAAACTACTGAAAAGGCTTAATTAAAAATAAAGGGAGTACATTTTATTGTGAAAGAAGAATGCTCATAAAATTATATTGATGTATATTATTACAGGTCATTATACAGTTTTCTACCAGTACTCGGACTAGAAATGTTATAGGAAAATTTAAAACCCTCGTCAGACAGATTGTTGTTGGAGATAATTCCAGTATTTCTAGAGCAGTTTTTAACTGTAATGATGATTTAAAGTAATGTGTTTTAAAGCAAGTTTGTACCATGAACACACAGGAGGTAGGCTTACACTCATTTTTCATTAGGGTTGATATACCTGTGCAAAAATGTATTGACCTTGGCTCTAACTCTGTACAACAACAATGTTATGTTAGGTTAAAAAACATACTTGCACCTTATAATACCGAACTGACCAAAGAGCTACTATTTAGTGACCTATAATCTATCCTTCGAGTGAAAGCTAACGACATCTTGTTGATTTGTGGCAATTTTATTGATTTATACACTATTCACTTTCAAAATATACTACCAACAAAACTGAATAAAATGTATAAATTTTAAAGCAGAAAAACAGTATGAGGACCAATAGAAGTAATTATTTGTTTATCAGGACTGGAAAAGGGAGGGAGGGATGCTTTTTATTATTTTTTTTTTTTCTAACGTCAAATATCACCCTTGGGATGTTTTCTCATGCATTCATATTCAAAGTAAAATACAATATCGAGAAAATACAAATGATATCTATTATTTACTTTAAAAATAAATGAAAAAAGAAAAAAACAATTTCCGAAACTTTTTTCTCCATAATATAGTCCTAGAAGGCATGCCTGGCGAGAGTGATAAACTAGTCTTTCTTTGTTATTGGGCCTAATTTGGGTTCTCAGTTTCAGATAATCATATTTGCTGCAAGCACTGTGCATGTCTGTAAATTGTAAATACAGTGTTATGAAAGTGTGTTTTATCTTTAGGTAAATGTAATTTGCTCCAGAGAGTGTGATTGGTCTTCAGTCCTAAGGAAAACTTCAAAAGAAGATCTAGCAAATTTCCGATGGGAGATGCTGCAACAAGAACTTCAGGACAAAGCTTCACACTTGTTGCAGTTCATGATGGCTGCTGTAAGCAATCCCAGGCAGAAATATAACATAAGAAAAACAAGCGAACATATAATGCCTGCAGTCCTGGATGCAACTGCAAAGCTCTTAAGTCTATACAATGACAACATGAATGCGATAAGAAAGATCAAAGGGATCATTCTGAAGAAAGCAGGACTAAAAAAGGTAATTGTTTATGATATGTACTTGTTTTAGTGCTTAATACACTTTCATTACCAATGCTGATTTTCTAACCAAACTTTCTAAAGAAAAGTTTAAAAAAAAAAATTCCTTTTCAGACTGGATTTATGCGTTTGGCAGCCCTGTACGACACCATTACCTATCCATCTATAAATAGAACCTTAGAAGCCTTTGGTGAACATTTCCAACAACCACTCCTTGGATGGAAAAGGTCAGAAGAAGTAGCGTATGAACAGGAGAAAGCTGGTTCTCCAATAGAAGAATCATTACAGGATGTTCCCTCTAAGGAAGAATCCAAAATGCCACCCGGTTATTCATTTACAGGTAATTCCATTATTATAAGAACATTTAAGAATATAAATAAGATAAATCTTTTAACATGTTTAACATTTAAAAAAGTTGTTTACAATTTAAAATTATCTGAAATTGAAAATTACATTGCTTAACATATTTAAATTTTCCAAAAACTAATAAATTGTATGGTTATCATACATTTTTGTACTGTTATTAAAATGTTTAATGTTATTAAAATGTATATTATTTTTCCATTGTGTTGGTATTGATCCTCAATATTTATTTGTTTTTAATAAGGTGACTGTGCCGGTAGCGGCCAGAGGACGAAATTGCAACAAGGAAAATACAGAAGCACAATGTTGAAATAAGAGTATCGGATAGCTTTATTATCGTTCTTGCCTGCTCGATTGGTTGTTAGCTATCCGATACTCTTATTTCAACATTATGCTTCTGTATTTTCCTTGTTGCAATTTCGTCCTCTGGCCGCTACCGGCACACAATTCAATTAAC